AGCATCTGACAGTGGACTTGATGCATTCTCAAACGTTTCGCCGGCATCGCAGTCGGCATCATCAGTCAGTTTTGCCATTCTCCGCACCAAGCTACGAACTCGTCAAAGAGACAAGTGAATTCAATTCCTCTTGTCTCTTTGACGAATGTATCAAGTCCACTGTCAGATGCTGTGAATCATGACAACTACTATGGCAGACGACTTCAGACTAGGTGCGTTCTGCATAATCGCCCTGACCACAAGACCAAGTTGCGACAACGAGGTCAACCTACTTCTATAAATCGAAAGGAGACTGTGACCCCAACAGAGGCCACAACATCTTGGTCTTCATATCGGCAATTGAAGCTGATTAAGACTCACGAGGCTCTTCCCACCTTGTCGGGTGTTGTCTGCTGTCCACATAAAGTGGTGAATGGCCGTGGTTGTGCATGTGAGCAGGTGGTTCTCCCATTACCTTTTATTGCCCACACTTTCAGGCTAGCGAAATTCAACCCGTCTCGGAGCACGAGCTGCGCGAATGGTCCTCTCGCCTCTGCAACCCCAAGTCGAGTCTTGTGGAGCGGTCGAGGGCCCTGTGGGGGCTTAGGCACGCCAAGGAACTGCTTGCCTGCCAGCTGATAGGCCAGTTTATCTGTCGCCATGTACCGCCCGACCCTGTCGCCAACGACCTGCTTCAACACGAGGCCGCCTATTGCCTGGGCCAACGGGGCAATTTGGCCGCCATTGACGACCTTATGACGGTCGTCCGAGAAGTCCGCCATTCGCCCATTGTCCGCCATGAAGCAGGCGAGGCACTGGCTGCGATTGCCGGTTGCGCAAGCCCTGCCGAACGGGCCAGGATCCGCGAACTGTTGGAAACGTACAAATCCTGCGATGTCGTCGAGGTGAGAGACGCGAATGCAATGTGCCAAGCGTGGGTGTGTTTGTGATGGGTACATGTGGCTAATTTGACTATCAAAGGGGTAGCTTGGCCTATTAATAATGTTGAGTTCATTTCTATTACAAGCAAAAAAGTGATCAACGAGATGTTACAAATCCTGCTGGTGCCTATTTAGAGACCACTTTTTCCGTTTATAATTAGGTTTCTGAGACGACAAGTAGAGTATGTACGAGATCACCATATTTCCCCACAATCATATACGATTCAGCTTTACATGTCCAAAAAGGACTGCAGTTTCGACCTTTTCCGAACTGGTCTCATGAGCAACCTTAGCGGGACTCGAACGATGACTGTCTACACGTTAACGACTACACCATATTTCTAAAAAACTGCCATTTTTTGATAGAGAAAGAACTGATTTAAATGACTTTTGAAGGAAATCGAGTCTAATGTAGTGAGTTTAATTGTTTATGAGAGAAACTAATGAATAGATGAGATGTATTCGACCTGTTTCC